CTGTCCCTAGCTGCATGGCTTGGGTTAGTACTCAAGGCTACATATAAAATGAAGTTTCCGAGCATAGAATCACAGTGATGAAATATTGCAGTTATCCAACCTTTGGAACTGTGGCCTTGGAGAAAGGACATACCAAACTGCCTTACCCAGAGATGCCATTTGCCCTGTGTCTGAGAACAATGTGAACCATGACCATGACAGGGAGGTTTTGATAGAGGTTCTGCCAAGTAGCTTAACTGCAAGCCTCAGTACAGACCCACATAGAAGCTGTACAGCTGCCAAGTAGGATAGGCCTGGAGAAGAGGCATCTTGTCTTACTTTTTCTTTGCCGTGTACTTGTCCTCAGGTACGCAATGTAATCAGAACTGGATAATCACCACCTAATCTGCTTATTACCTTGAAAGAATAGCTTCAAGTGCTGTTAAAAAGGCTATATTAAAAAGGGCTGCCTAAGCAAGTGGTGGGCTGCACAAGGATTTCAGCCATGGCCTCTGGACCATGCCTGGTGGTCATGGGTTCATGTTCAGCCCATACTTAGGGTTATGAGAGACACACAGCCCCAAGCAGGGCCAGAATGCAAAGGGGCGGCCAAAAGATTAGGTTACCAAAAATGAACTCCTGACATATTTGTCTGGGCCATAACTGGACATTATTATATACTGATCAGCCAACACCTGGGGTTAGTGTTAGGGCAAGCAAGAACTCATAGTGTTAGGAGCACCAGGGTTGCAGAGCAACTAAGAGATGCCAGAGGGAAGGATAGGATGTGCAAACTTTTCAACCCTGACAGTTTCAGGGCCATAACTGGGAGTCATAGGCTCACCCCATGACTAGAATTCAGGTTCAGGTTTTGGGTCAGTGTTTACCTGGGCTTTTTTTCTCTGCTAACCCTAAGCCCAAGTATAATAAGACCTGGACTGAACATTTTTCCACATCCACCAGTCACCCCCTAAATTGTCAAGGACAAAGTCCTCACGCAGCCCACCCTTTCCTTTGGTAACCACTTTTTGCCTCTACACCACCTGGAGCCCTTGGCTTTTTCCACTTACTCTAACTCTGGACTTGTCTTTGCCACATTCCCCAAGACCAATGGAGCTTTATCAACAGCTGATTCACATTGCTCTTTTTCACTTTAATGATTAGTCTTGTCAAACCCAGGCTAGTCTTGCATTGTGATCATTGCTAACCTTAGGGCAGTTCCACTGACTCTGGGAGCTCACTATCCTGGCCCTGAGTATAGCCTATATTTCATGGGAAGGAAAGAGACAGACCAGCTTGCAGCCTGCTAGCATTGCAAGCTGTAAGCACAGTGCTGTTGTAAACTGTATTTGTGGCCATTTTTTTGTCTTAGCTTTAGTATTTTATGAAGTTGAAGCACAAATATTGCTATACTACCTGAATGCTTTAACTGCTTCTATCCATCATCCCTCAGTTTGAACCCTTGTCTTTGATGCTGGAGTAGGGCTCCAGAGAATAAACAGCCCAGGAATGCTACACTGCTTGCTGGAGTCCTAAATAAGAAAGTGGGTGAGATGGTGTTTCTATGTAATGTCAGACTATTTGCAGAAGGGAAGGGAACAAACAATGCTGTTAATGCTGTAAACAACTGCAGACTTGTAAACACTAAAATAGCTAAGGCAGCTGGCAAAAACCTCTTGAAGAAAAACTACAGCAAACTTCTGACTCCAAAAGCAGAAGTAGAGATCAGTTGGCACAAACATCTTATTGTATGTTGAGAAGTAGTCCTCAAAATTCCTTGGGAGTTAGAAGCATTTTGCAACAACCACCACCTGCAAGAGCACTATAGAGCCAAGGGATATAGGGGTAGCACAGGAAAGGGATGATGGTAGAAATCTTACTGGCCAAGCTCACTGTTTTCAGGAAACATTACAATATCACATACTGAAGTGCCTGGGTTAGAATCATAGAATAGTTAGGGTTGGAAAAGACCTTAAGATCATCAAGTTCCAACCCCCCTGCCATGGGCAGGGACACCTCACACTAAACCATATCACCCAAGGCTTTGTCCAACCTGGCCTTGAACACCGCCAGGGATGGAGCATTCACAACATCTCTGGGCAATCCATTCCAGTGCCTCACCACCCTTACAGTAAAGAATTTCCTCCTTATATCCAATCTAAACTTCCCCTGTTTAAGTTTTAACCCGTTACCCCTTGTCCTGTCACTACAGTTCCTAATGAAGAGTCCCTCCCCAGCATCCCTATAGGCCCCCTAGGGTTGTTTTCCTTGATTTATCATTTGATTTTCCGCATGGTTTAGTAATAAGCCACCTTATTTCCATTTAGTACCATTTAACATCTCTAGGAAATATGTGTTATGAAATGTTTCCTCAAAGCAGTTTTTAAGCAGGTAACAGAAACTCCATAACACTGGCTCTGTGCATACAGCGGAGAGAGAATTAATCTATGGCCATCTGCCATAAAACAATGTCTCTCAGGTCTGCTTAGCAGGCAAAATAGCGTGAACATGACAGCCAAGATGGCATAGTTGTACCAACCTCTTGTAACTCCATAAACAAAAAATTAGCTGGTGGAAACAGAGCACAGGTTGCAAAAAAATACCCCCAAATATCTATTGCCTCATCAAGCCATTTGCCACTAAAACAGATGCTGTACCTAGGTTACTTTCCATTGTACAAGTATTTAGAAGTATTTAGTGAGCTCAGGCCATTGCACAACACCGTCTGCATAGAGAGGGAGGAATTAGTTTTTCCAGACTTGGAGCTGTATCAGAGACAGCTGAGATGCATTCACAGCTGGTTCTTTTTGGACCCAGCACTGACATGAGTGAGCACTGAACAGCAAGTGATCTGGTGCCTGTTTGTCAGTGGAACTTACAGCAGACCAGGACACTGCAGTCATATAAAAAGTACCTCAGACACAGTTACAGACTGGCCTTAAAAAAGGAAAAAAACCCCATGAAACAAGCAAAGAAAACCACTGCCAACACACAGATTTAGTCAGCTGAAAAAGCTTAAGCAGCAATAAATAAATGTAGCAATGGCAATCACTGGCTATGATTCCCTGTTGGTGTCTATAGCTAAATTTGATTTCAGCTCTGACTTTCTGCCAGCACTATATACCAATTCCCCTGGTTTTTATTCAAACCAAGACCATGCTGTAAATTAACTAAGTTTATGGTGCTCTTGAATCACCCTTTGCCACTGTCCTCCTCTTTCAAACATGATGACATTAGAGTGCCTTTGCAGGCCTGTGCCAAAGCTAACAAGTCTTGGGTACTTCCTAAGCATTTTGGTATGGATCAGTATCCTCAATCTTGCTCCATACAGAAACATGGAGAAATTTAATGAAGCCATACATTTTAATACATTTTCAGAGCTGCAAAATGGAAGAAGTGTAGATTGATATGATAGCCAAAGCTGTTTATATCTGCATGTACTAATTTTTCCCCTATTTACCTTTTCTCTTGAAACCTCATTCAATGACCAGAGTTGCTTAGATAAACAGCTAAGCATATCCAAAAGAAACAACAGCTAAAGTCTAAGAAAACTCTCAGTCAGCAACATTTTCATCATTGTTTCAAACCACCAATGTTTTCCACAAGCCAACATTTCTTAGGTCTCAGCTTTAGTAACACGCTTGTTCAAAGTTGTGTTTTATCCTCACCAAGTTAGCAATGTATTAAATCTCCTACGTATTAACATTGCCTCTGTTGGAAAGCATCTTTTATGTCTTACTATAAATAAAAATAAATAAATCATTGGTCCAGCCTTCCATCACCTGAAGTGGATAAGAAACCATTTGCATATTAATAAATCCACAGGAAAACTCTGTAACTCCAGCTAGTGTTTGTGAGCCTGCTGGAGTCCCGTTGGTTGCTGGAAGGCAGAGCACAGTCAGCACCAGCTGTGCTGCATTGCGTCTGGGCTGTCAGTGTGCTCCTGCTTTTCCCCTCCTGAGCAATGACCCTGGGATGCTTGGACCCTGGTCACAGTTCTGTTCCTCTTCAATATTCCCAGGGAATCCCTAGCAGCTTGAGGAGCAGGAAAATACAGATTTCTGCAGTAATACAAATACTGAAACAGTATAAAACCGCAGGAAAATGAAACCACACCTAAGCCCAAGCAGCTGGGCTCAGCTCTGGGAAGATGAGAGCTCAGTAGCCAAGTGTCAAACTTCAGCTCACAACTATGAGGGCAAGAGCTGAAGGTTCTGCTCTGTGCTGCATATCACACTGTTTCCTCTGCCTGAGTAGCCACGCAGGAACACCCTGCTGCTTTCAGTCTTCCAGACGTTTGCTTCCACAAGAAACCCTTTGGTATTACCTTGGTGGCTGAAGAAAAGAAGAATATCCCCAAGGTTTAACTTGCCCCCTTCCCTCCATGCACAGATACTCAATCTCCTGCCACCATGGCCAGGATGAAACTCACTGTGATGTTTTTATTTTTAATTGCAAATTAAATGGAAGTGGACAGAAAACTGAGCCATAACCCAAGCTCCTACTCCACAAAAATCAGTTTTTACACAGACTTCAGAAGACATATCCTGACATGTGAATTTATGAAGGATTTTACAGCTGATATTCCTCTTTGCTTAACATGCACATTTTTCCCCAGTTTGCCCTCCAACATCAAGCCATTCCTCTCTCCCTGCTTGCACATACATTCTTTTGTGAGTCTTAAGTAGAAATAAAGGAATGCAGTGCTTATCTGACATTCTGTTTACTCCTATATATCACCATGTGTAAGATCTGTAAATATTTCCCATATGTTAGCTAAAGCAATCCCTCCATTTCAGCATCTGCAAGATCTGTCCACACAGCCTTTCAAATTGGCCTTAATACACTACTTCTGACGCAAGTCAAATAAAGACAGTTCAAGGGCTCCCCCCCCCAACTGAATATAGCTTTACTCTCAGATGCAAAATCACTGTGGGGTTCATAATCACTGTAATTCTACAATTTTAGGTTCAAAAGTCTGTCTGAAAAATAAAACCGTAGACTTTGTTAAGATGCCTTACCTTAGTCTGCAGAGCTCAGAGAAAGCTCCAACACCCAAAATGGTCGAAACCTTCCCCCTGTACCACGAAATAGACCCTTGCAACATCTCCACCTGCGACACACAACCCACACACCCTGGTGGCAGGGGTAGGCTGTGGACTCACTGATGTGCATTTAACACAGCTGAGCTGGGGAAACAAGGTGTGCTCAGCTTTGTTAGCTGTAACAGAAGGCACATAGGAGAAATCCAATTTAAGTCATTTAAAACCAAACCATTGCTTTTGGCACCAAAACTTCAAGTCAATTCAATGAGTTGACATGATGAGAAGCATTAGAATAACTTCATGTAATCCTATTCCACCAAAGTCACTGATTAAATGAAGTAAAGTGGTCTTCCTTTTGAGAGAGTCCTATCTCCATGTACAGGTTCCTGTGCTTGGCAGATTTTTGTGGACAATAGGTTCTGTCATGGTCAAAAATCAAAGTAAGATTTATGAACTTAATATTCTATGTAAACAGATACTCTAGTAGAAACATGAATGTTAGTGCATACTCAGTATAAGAGAGTTAAATGGAGTAAAGAAATAAATGAACTGTACTCTAGTGCCTATTGATTTAACTGGCTACATGGACTTCTGTTAGGATAATATCTGGATGGCAACATTCAGAGGAAGTATTTATACAACCACAAACAACCATAAATTGCAATATATTCAAAGTTCTGATTCTAATTAAACTTCCTTTTACCCTCTACTTCTCCTTCCTTTGCTATTTACTCATCTCCCTTGTAGCCCTTATTCCAAGCTGTCTGCACAGGCAGGAAAATGTCTTCCTCTGCAAGTAAAATCATCATTAACCTGAGAGTAGGATGAGAGGATTTCTCTGAAAAGCTAAAATGGGAATACCTCAGAGAGTTTACTAAAGAACACTCAAATGTTTTCTGCAAAGATACAGCCAATTTCTTTTGTTTCTCTCTCACCCCCTGCACCCAAGCAATAAGTGAGTCCGCTCCATAATGCACCCAGCATACACTAATCAGATCACACAAAATAAATGTCTCAAAAAGCAATCTGTGCTTCTAAGAAATCTCCAAAACAGTTTGAGCTGCCCCTTGCCATGTGTTCCAGTTTCTCATCCTAATCTTAAAGAATTCATCATGGATAAAGCACACCCTCCCCCAGTAAAAAAACTGCTGCCTGTGGCCAGTATTCTTGTTTACTTGAATGTGGTTGCTCTCCAGTCTGAGTGAAAGCAGGAAAAACTCAGAATGGAGAAGACAATCGATGGAAGGAGCCCCTCCTGTGTATTGGATATGCCTGGCTAGAGATGGAGCAAGATGTCCCAGAGCAAGAGCAAGTTGTGTGCTGCAGGATACTCCAGCCTGGTACAGCAGCAGGGAATGGAGGGCAGGAGTCCAGCAAATCCCAAGGGGTCAGGATATCCCTCATTCCTAGTAAAATGAGAGCACCACAGTGCAAAGTCTGACAAAGGAAAAGGCAGATTTTGCTGCCAAGCTTTCAGACTTCCTGAAGACAAAGGCTGGGCAAGGAAAACAGTGGTACAAAAAGGGAAAACTGTTTATCCAAATTACAGAGCAGCCAGAGCTTAGGGTCAGACCAAGGTATCCCAGCTTCCAACCTGGTGGTCAGCCTCTGCCTGGGAGCTGGGAAGAGCAGTTCTGACCTCAGCCACACCAGAGGCACCAGCTGTGATCACACAGGTCTCTAAATATGAGGGTACTTTGTACCGAATGTCTCGTTGGATAGTGTGATTCACCCAGCTGTGATACAACATCCATCCTCTCGGCATGAGAACTTGTTAAATACACTACTCCTGGTGGAAATGTGGGATCCAGTGTATTTCAACACCCTCTAATCATCTATGATGATTATTAGATTAATTCTCTTGACCTACAAATCAACTTTATTAAAATGGAATATGTTCTATGTCCATCTGCAGAACATTCTCCTTCCCAAGAACGAAAAGCTTATGAAATAATATAGGACACAGCATTCATTGCTCAGAGCCAAAGTAATCTCAGAGCATGCAATTACTTTCGAAATATGGAGTCAACAAAACATGGTTGTTTCAAGTTTACCCTGGACAACGATGTTTCCTCCCCACATGAATCCCTTCATGATGCCTCCCTTTCCTGGGAGTGTTTAGTTTACAGCCTTACATTTAACAATCATGCAGATCCACTCTTCCATGAATTCTGCATGTTGTGGCAGATGCACCTTGCTGTAAACACACTGGATAATAACTCAAAAGAGGGAGAACAGCCTCTTACATCCTATGTACTACCCTTTACTGTAGCTTATGAATTTACAAGCTTTGTCAGGAAAGGGATTGTGCCTATAAAGTAACAGCTCCTGAGTTCCATTTCTTCATGGATATATCTGTTGTTAGTGGTAAAATTGCCTCATTTATTTCTAATTCATAGTGTTATTTGCAGTAGGAAACAGTACTGAGTATTTCACTGTTTTACCTTTGAAGATAGCATGGGGAAAACAAATTACCAATAGGAACAAGAAATCCACACCTTAAAATTATAGAGAAATCTTCTTGATGTACTGTTTTAAAAATATAGTGAGGGATTACATTTCTTTGTACCTGCCAAAAAAATGTGCCTTTCAGCAAAAGAAGTTAGAAAACACTTACAGAAAAGTGTTTTAACCTTTAGTATTTACTGTAGATTGCCAAAGTACCTGAAGTAGAACAGAGACCTCCCCCCCCCCCGAATGCCAGCTGTCAGATGTGCATCATCTTTAACGTGCTCAAGTGGATGTGAAAGGCTCACGTGCAGGAAAAGTGAGGCATAGAAAAGCTAAATGCCTTGTCAGGGCTACTGGCAGTGCTGGGTTCTCCACTGTGCTGTGCCCTGCAGAGTGGTTTACATTGCTCCATAGGAAGTACAAAGGTTATCTTTCTTGAATGGCATTTGGCTAGGGGATGTCATTCTTCAGAACCAATGCTTAAATGAAACACAGCAGATAAGAGCTTCCCCCAAAGGGCTTCAAGTAGACTGTATAAATCTCAAGCAATGTAGTAATACATCCCCAATCCCCTGGATTTAGACCTATCAAGATCTGCTCTGAGTTTCCTGCATCTGGGTACCAGAACCTGGCTCAGCTAATAATCAGGAGTTGTGTCACAGAAATCAGCACTAATTCTCTGCTATAAAATCCACATCACACCTCCAGATGTCTCAGACATGCAGACAAGGTGGCCTAAACAGACACTTTCTGTGTCTAATTTACAGCATGTGAACCTTTTATTCTAAAGGTAATTCCACTGTATTGCAGTACCTGGAGTATGCAGAAATAACAAAAACTAACAAGAAATAGTTTGCTGAGACCTATTTGTCACTATCAGGATTTAGAAAGGAAATAAACACAAGGTGTTTTATTGCAAAATGAACTCAAACTGTGAGAGGAGGAAGATAGATAAACGGAGATTAACAGTAAGGAGTCAATTGTTCAACCTATCTGCAGGAGAGAGACTAACATGGGAAATTGCCATTAGGGCTCCAACAATTTATACACAAACCCCCACGTGCCTTGGTTGGAAAACAGACCTGCAGTATTAGATACTATTGAGATACCAGTAAGCAATACAGTTTCAGCTCTCTGGCACTTGCCTGTTTGCATTGGCCTGATAGGAGCATCAAAGAGAAACCACTGCCATGGACAAACGTTTTTCTTAATTGGCATCACCAGTGAAAGGTTCTTATGACTAACATAGTTATAAGAGTAAAACCCGATGGCTTTGCAGGACGTACGTGCTAGCTTTGATCAACCAATTTCCCTCAAGAAAAAACACATGGGCATCTCTTCCATGTTTTTAGTATCCCAGTGACATCCACATGAAGTTATCAAGTGCTTTAGAAGAATAAAGCAAAGGTGTGAAATTTCCTCAGCTGGCTGCCAGTACATATCTGAGTTCACAGCCAGAGGCATAAAGCTGTATGACATAATTCAGTAAAGCAGTTTAACATAAGCTTAATTTTAGCACTAGAAATCTTCAGAAAAATAAAGCAAGGCTTCAGGGAAAATACAAGATTTCCCATGAAAGCTTTGGTGAAGTTTCAGTCTGAATCACATGTTGTATACGCCTTTTGTTGGGGTCATCTAGTGAGCACTTATGTGGCAGTCAGTCCTGTGAAAGACGAGAAGTTCACAGAACATCCCTGCAATCTCTCAGTCCTGGATGATGAATCACAGAGTATGTTGAAAGCATAGCTCATGATACATGAAGAGTGGTTTTCTTAAATTTGATGACTGATAAAAGAACTACTCTAATTCCTAAAAAAATAAAAATATCTTAGCACTGTGCAACAGCTTCATGTGTCTGTATTTACAGAACTGGAGAGTCATTTCTTTCCACAAACTTAAAATCCTCCCCCAAGAGTTCAACATGCTTACTGCTTACAGCTCTTCTGTTTGTTTTCGTACCTATGACTTGTCTAAGAGCAGTGTGCGATTCTACTGTTTTGGTTGCTATTTCAAAGCATTTGATGAGCCCTGAATGCAAGTTGCAGTCTATATGCTGTTTGCAGGGTGCTTTCTGGAAATAGTTCTTTATTACTGAAGGCTCAAATGATACTTCTTTGTTTCCTGTGAGGTCACCTCTCTTACACACTTCCAGAAGACAAAGGCAGAAGTGTCAAGCTAGAGGTGTGCTTGTTTTGTCCAAAAAAAGCATGCTCAGAAGCATGAAGAGACAGCACTCAATGCAGGAATGGCGAAGAGCTCAAGGGAAAAAGAGAAAGAAACCCCCCTAAAAACTTGGATCAATTAAACAGTTTTTAAGCCTCATTGGTAAGCAGCCTTCATCACATGCAGTGCTAACTAGCCCAATCCCAGCCAGAGCATGGACCCACTTTAAAGTAATTGCTAGTTAAAAACATCTGGAAACAGGCAATGTGAATAGGATTTATAATGGGTGGGATAGTTACAGCTGAATCACATATGACTAATGCTAGCTTTTTCCTTGGAAGCCTAACCAAGTGTTGCTTAGAGGAATGACACAAGAGCAGCAGTGGCCCATTGACTGCTGTCACCCCTGTC